TTCAGTCATTGTCAGAACACATTCTGTTAATGAGGGCAGTGTTTGATCTCTTTGTTAATCTATCCATGAGACCTTTCTGCTTTTGGATGTGACCCAAAAAAATGCAAACAAGCATTTTCTAGAAGTAGGAATTTTTTGTTTGGAGCTACTGCTATTACTGCAACAGTAGTTTTTAGTAAAGTATGGAAAAAAAGATCATTCCTGCTAGAGTTAGCTCTGACCACTCTCTTCTCTTCATAATCCTTAAGGGCAAGACTTGACTTTGAGATTCTTATAATGGCCAATGTCTAGTAATTTCATGCACAACTCAGACCAGCCATCTATTCCTTCATTAGCAGATCATATCAATGGTAGGTGAATCACAAGCCATGTAGAATTCCTTTCAGTTCTCTCTGAAATTTCACGAGAGAAATCAGTTTCTATTTGTATTGTAAAGATGAACACATAAATAGGCTGAATCCCATTTTTAATATGTAAACTAACATCCAAAAAGCAACTTGTTACACAGTGTTACATAAAATATTATAACTGGATTTTTAATTTACAATTAATCAAAATCATTACCCACTTAAAATGATGTAATTTAAAATATATTAAATTAGCATGATTTCAGCTTTCTTAAAGAACTAATGAGATCTTCCTGAGTGGTAGATACATTGGCATCAAAATACAGCTTTCAGTAGTTATTAAATGCACTTATTTGTGCTTCAGGCCTCCATAATGTGGCACACTAAAATGTGCTTTAGAAGGAGGCTAGCTGTTCAGAAAGACACTCGAGTACATATTTTTCTGAAAGCATGGGAGTGACTCTCTCTCTTTTCAGGTGGACACTGAAGTGTGTGCTCAGCCTGTAAGAATGCACATAAACACTTTCTCAAATCGGGAGTCAGCTTTTCAGACTGCAACATTTTTATTTGCCTGGAGCACAGAGTCCTGTCCTTTTATTGGGAGCGCATCTCAAGGATTAGATGACAGCATTATCAAATCACTGTATGCTCTTTCTGCTGATGCTTTGAATCATCTAAAAACACTGCAACTGTTTTCCTGTTGCACTTAGGTACTGAAACTTGTCCTGGCAACCGACCAAAGAAAGAAGATCAACAGCCGAGCACCCGTCCTAGCGGTGAAAAGCAAACTGAGGAGCAGGAGGAGGCAGTGAGCCTTCTGGTGGCTGCAGGAAAGGACCACATGGAGGAGCAGCACCGCAGTGCAGAATCAGCACTGGAGCCACACACCCAGTCCACAGGGACAGTGGGCAGGCCTTCTCCGGGCTGTTTATCGTCAGGGGATGCTGGCAAAGATAACAGTTTGCTGCTGAGAGAAAAGCGGATCTCTAAGGATGCGGAAAAAATAGAAGAGACAGCTGGCAAACCCGGAGTGAAATTCTCTCCCAGGCCAATGGTAGACGCCTTGGTTTTAACAGATGCTGATTATATGCCTGCTGATTTGGTTTCTACTGATAAAAATGTACAAGCTGATAAAAATCTTCTCAGATCAAAACTTGTTGCTAGCTCTTCAGAAATCACTAGTGGCCAGTTTGGAAACAGCGATTTAAACCAGCTACAGAAACGGCCTGATAATGACGATGATGAACAATTTTCCCAGGACAGAACTGCTTCAAACGTATGCTCTGAAAGCAGTAAAGTATCTGAGCAGGAAAGTACTGCCCATTCACGAGTATGCAAGGAAATGCAGAGAGCAGCAGGACAGGAGGAAAAGGTAAAAAGTGAAGAACGAGAAGATGTCTATCTCAGATTTTTAAATGGCAACATAATAGACACTGAAGAATCATTTGCAAACTTAGCAAATCAAGAAGAATTTGACACTGTCCCAGATATTTCACCTGAACGAGCATCTTACAACTCACTGGAAGCTTTATCACTAGATGACAGCTTTTCTTCTCTTGATGAACTTGCAAGAAGGATAGAGATTGCTGAGGTAAATATTGTGAATCCTATAAAACCCTCCATGTCATCTCAATCAAAATATTTTAGGTATTGCCTATTTCAAATTGTGTTCAGTATCTCTAATTTATTTAATCTGAAATCTGTATGTATTTACTTGTTCTGAGTTAATTCAGAGGAAAAGTTCCCTTTTATCTGTTTGCATCCTTCTGGCAAGTGCTGCTCTGTGCATCTAAAACCATTGATTTTTACTTATTAGCGTGAACTCTATTTTTATTTGTAACATGAGCTGTTAGGAGAGAGGTTGACAGTTCCTGTTAAATTATGATTTTATTTAAGAGGTCTACATAATACCTATGTTTATAGCATGGATTTATTCTATTCAAAGAATAAAATTTACTTTTCCACTCCGACTAAAGGTGAGAAGAACCGCATATGTAATAAGCTCCATAAATACATGTATGGGCTTTTAAGTTTGCAGGCTCAGGCAGTTTTATTATTCAACCAAACTTAGGGAAGAACTTCTAAATCTGAACCCACCATAGGCCGCAACAAGGATAAGTGCTTTGCAAGCTGAAGTGCTCTTCTGAAAATAAACATATTGAATTTTATTGCTGTATGACTTGGTCAGAGAGTGTGTGATGCCTTCCTTGCTTTATCTTCTGCTTTTGTTGCATTTGCAAAAGATTGGGCTGTAAAAGCTTTCCCTTTAAATGTACAACTGGGATTATTTTGAGATTATGTGATTTCAGTTGCTGGAGGGGAAAGACAGAAGAAGGTGCCCTGTTGGTGCATCTCTATTTTTAATGAATTTAACAGTGCAACATCCCTTGACAATAAAAAGTAACAGCACTTTCCTACAGATCAAAAGTTAGTACATGTAGATCAAGAGCCATAATCACCCACAGACTGCAGCCAAGCAGGGAACTGAATACTGGAGATGCACACTGATGTTATTACATCTTTGGCAAAATCTCCAGATCTGGAAACAAAGCATTTTATGTTGTTCTTTTCTTTTCCCCACCTAAGCAGCTTCTTTTCTCCCTTGCAATATCAGGCATTCTGATCACCCTTAAGACACCTCGTCTTTCTGTGGGATGTCAGGAAACATGTCAGATACCAGGACTGAAGGTCCTATATACAAAGCTGGTTTTAGTTCAGCTTTTTTGGATTCAATGGTAGCTATACATGAACACTTCACAGCACATACATGTAGGATCCCAATTATACGTTAATATGGGTAATCAAACTTTGCACTGGATCCACTGCCTTATGTTCACTGATTTCCAAGGAGAGAATTGTTTCATGTAGAAAAATCATACATTAACACTATAGCTGCTATTTTTAAGTTGCTATGCTTGAGTTACTTGCATTTAAAGGATTGCATAGGAAGGAACATATTGATACTGTTAGAATAGGGATGCTTGTATTGATGGGGCCAGTGGCCAATGACGACAGTGCTTTACAGGGAATCCAGTGTCATTTCTAGTTTGCAGTCCTACTGCTAGTACTGCCAGTACTCTGATGGCAAATCTGAGTCTCTAGAGAGGTAAAAAGTACCTTGAGTCTTTCCATAGCATTTTTTTATTGTTGCTATGTAGCTCATGATGTTGGCTGTCACTGGTGGGAGTCTTTTCCAGTCTTTCTTAGGAAGAGACCTGAACTGTCTAGGGCTGGGGGATTGAATTGGGGAGAAGCAAAGATGCGTTCATTTTGACACCAATTGAAACTCGTAATATGCAATGTCTGGGCTTGTTTTACAGTGCCTGAAATTACTAGGTGCAGCACAGTGTGTAGCCTGTATTGTTTCATTATACATTTATATTTTGTTTTCCCAATTAATCTTATTGCCAGTCATTACCCTAGGGGCTGCATTTCAGACTTGGTGTTCACCTGCAACTTCCTCAGAAGGCACCAGGAACTGACAGAGCATGCCACCTCTCAGAAATGACCACCATTTACTTAGGCTGACTTTGTTTTAGTGCTAAAATAAGATGCTAATGATGTTTTGACAAGCAGACTGATCTTTGCATCCAACAATAACATTTTTTCCTTTCTTGTTCTACTTGTCTGCCTTTGAAGGTGAATTGTTCTGGCTGTGGCCATCAAATAAGTTTACAATGTTTTCATACAATAATTATGAAAGATGTACCACAAATGCATTGTGTAGACACAAGCAAGCACAACAACAACATATCCTTACATGAAATGTGTCAGTATGACAATTTAAAAAAAAAAAAGAAAAAAAAGTCAATCAATGTGATTATAATCAAACTTTTCCTGGAGCAAATAGTTACAAAATTGTCACAAATAAGTTAGAATGGAGGGCAAAGATAAAGACCGTTTTTAAAAATAAACTAGGTACAAAAATCAGATGGTAGGACCAATATTATGCAATGGGGGTGTAATATTCATTTATTGTAAATGGGGAAGGATAAGTACTCGTGTAGGAAGGGATTTTTTTACCCCATATTGAGCACAGTTGTCTCACAGAGTTCTGTAATTCAGATTCTTTATATCCCTTGCTTTTAGGCTACTATTTGCAATAATTAATTAAAGACTGAAAATCTGCTTTTTTTTTTTTTTTTCTAGCTTTAAATAACTTGAAATCTGAATTAGTGTTTTACATATTTTACAGTCAGTTGTACTGGGTATTTCTTTACTAAACTATCCATGCAAACCTGTGTGCAAATGATGGAAATTCACTGAAGCCATATGGAAAGTGCCTTCATACACCTAGTAAAGAGCTTCAGAGCACATCAACAGTTGGCAGTGACAGATTTCAGAAGTATGTGATGAAATGGCACACTAGCAATCACACAAACTGTAACCTCAGTAACGTGAGGTGTGTTTTGCCATATGAAATAAAGCTTTATATCTGCAAGATCATTAGCGAAATGAATAAAAATTTGTTTTTTTTCTTAATGGCCAATTATCATTTGAAATTTGTTTCAGAAAGTGAAAGTATTGAGAGTCCTTACCACAGTGTAAAGTAGCAGCTTTGGATTGCACTTTCTGTACACAAAGATTTCAAAATCTATTGAATACATACTGACTGGCAGCTGATTTGGGTGCAGAAATGAAGCCTTCACCTACCTGCACGAAGTGTGGAGACAGTGCTTTGTCGAGATCCCTTGTCTGGCTCTATGGCTCAGGTCCTGCAGTTTTAAGTTTGCTTGGTGTCATTTGCAAGCAGATTTTGGATGGCTGTTGTGAAAGCTCCACTCAAATAGTTTTAACGAGGCAGGGCTAAGTAACTACTCTCAGTTACATAGAAAGACCAGTAGTATCTGTTGTTCATTATTGAACCTGGAATTAAGGAAAAAATCCATGTTTCAGTACTGCCTGATACCTGTAGCTCTTTTATACCACACAGAGCAGCCCACAGCATGGGCTGGTGCAGGCCTGCATTTTTCCTTTTGTGGTTCAAGCCAAGCATAGGCTTGACTTGTGGTTAGCTGTATTAACCACACTTCCCTCATTAAATTCAAATTTAAATAATGATTTCTGGCTTTTTAAATTCCTCCTACCTCAAACACCGGCATGGAATCCTTCTAGTCTTGCATGGCTGCTATATCTCTGTTCTGCTGCTTTTGATGGCTGTTTAATTAGTGGGAGATGGTTCTGATGTAATCCATTTGTATGCTGCTTTGAAGTCTTTCTAAATGAAAGGTGCAAGAAAAAATATTTTACTTACAGTTGTTTTAATTGAACGAGATTTTATTTGTAGTGAGATGGGCGTTATTCTTATGTGACAGTCCTAAGTGCAGGAATGATATTTTTATGACTGAAAATAAGAAAAATAAAGCATGGTATTTTTGTTAGACAGTTTTCAGCTGCAGTTGAGAATGTGGTAGAAAGAAAGCTGTAAACAGGGCTTTGTGCAGAACTCCATATGCTTGTATTTGTATTTGCATTTTAAGAATAAGCTGTCCCTGAATAGGAGGCATAGCTTTGTAGTTACTCTGCAGAACAAAAGGCAAAATCTAGATGCCATGTCAGATGAAAGGCAGATGAAATAATGTAGGTATGAACTGCATATGGTGTAAAGACATTCTGATCAAAGAGAGCCTTAAAATGTTATCTATGGCTCTTGCTGGGTCAGGAGCGTAACATTACCATAATGATTGTGTTGCAAAATCAAAAGCCCTTGCTCACTCTTTTTAAGAGAAAGAATATGTTTAGAGTAGAGAAATTGTGCTGTATCAATGAAGTCTTTTACACTTAGAAGTAAATCCTGAACCGTTCACGGGTGCTAGCAGCAAAAGTAAGTGAACTTCACTGTAGCAAGCCTTTTACATAACTGTAATCGCTGGGACACATTTCCAGGTAAGCCCAGCAGACCTAGCCCTCTGCTTTCCAGCATGGAGGGGACAGAGCCCGTGACACAGTCATAGAAGAACTAGCAGGAGCCAACAGACAAAATGAAGTGTGCAGAACAGACTGCTGCACTCTTAGGACAGGAGTGAAAATACCCCACTGCACCCAGGTGGGATTCCCAAGTGCTATCAGAACCAAATGTGAGCAGGCAAATCTGGCAGCAGCTAGCTTGCTGCGTGGGTGGCTTGGGAGGAGCCATTGATCCTCTTTATAAAAGCAATGCCATACATAGAAGCTTAAAATAATCCACTCTTTTATAGGACATAATGTCATCTCGCCCTCCTAAATAAATGAGTCAAATTAATACACTCCTCCACAATCCCCCTTCCTTGTCACAACATGGAAGCATAAGTATTTATTTTCTGGCTGACCTGATAAGTTTTCATGGCAGCTCTGCAAAGCTAATTCAACATCACCAGTAGAAGCTTCAACCCAGCACGCTTCCTGTGATGAGAAGCATGCAGGCTGTTGCTGCTGCTTCACTGATACCACATAGCAGTCTTCCACATACTGATTTAAACAATTTCTTTTCACACTTTCACTACTTTATAAGTACTTCCTTGCGTTATTTCATTAAACCACTCAAGCTTTTACATAGATGATCAAAAGGGAAAGTGAGTATTGAAAGGGAAGTGCGTCAGAGATCAGCTTTATCTTCTCAGTTGCATTTTGGGAAGAATTTGTAGGCATGTACACACTGTGACCAGCTCTGTGAGTTGTTGAGATCAACATCTTAGGGGTGTAAAATACCACTGGAGCAGATACATCAAATTTAATTGCCACATTTATCAGTTAAGTGCCAAATGGCACAGTTGGGGCAATGCCCATTGGATTGTGCTCTCCATTTGTGCTCAGCACACAGTCTCTCTGATCATAGCATGCACTGATGCATTACATAAGCAAATCTAGGACAGAAGTTATGAAGTCACTCGTTTTTCTTGTTCTCCACAACTCTTATAATTGCATGGTCTTACAAATTGGTTAGATTATGGGATGGTTGGGCAGTCAATTGTCTGCAACTATAGTATTGTCTAAAAAGTTGTCTCTTCATGACGAGTTTTTGGCTCACATCTGCTACATAGGTGAGTTGCAAACTCAGTTGCAGATGTGGTATGTTTTTTTAGTTGTAGCACAAATGTATACAGATTATTTTTGAATGTAGCAAAGGTTATCACTGATACACAAAATAGGTTTTAAAAGGGACCACTCAAATTTATGGAGAGATGGATAAGACTTCTTTTCAGAAAAGAAAGATTTCAAGATAAGAAGAGCATGGCAATTGCAGGACTAAGGAACAGGATTTGCTTCTGTATGTGTTTCTTAGGTAGTACTTATGTCTTAGATAATGCTTAGGTAATATTTGTGTCTGTTTCATCAGCCTCTGTTTCATCAATAGATTTTCTTTCTTCCTTAAGGTACTTGTAATAACTTTAAACAATGTGCATTCTCATTAAAGGGGCATGGTAATGAAAGAAAAACGGTAGGTGCTTTAAAACAGAATTGTGAAGCACACAAGCAGTGAGTCTTACACTCAGTTTCACCTTACGCTAACATTAGCGTGTAGATTGTTACACCTGTGAAATATCAGCAAGTTCTTGAACCCTTTCAGTTTGCTGTCAGTATGTTAGCATGTTTGGCACATGATCCTGCAAACCCAGTTGCAGGGTTTCATCAAGTGACTCCCTACTGGCATCTGCTTCACAGCCAACATATACTGCTGCCATGGCAATTTTAGCTTTGGTTTTTGTACCCAAGTAATGTATCCTGCAAATACAGTTGCACCCACTTTTAGTGCCTATAAATTCAGATGTTCCTGTATACTGCTCACCTAAGTTCTGCTTGTTGAATACCTTTTCTTTTGTATCATTGCATCCATGTTTGGCAGAAATGGAAGAAAAATGGGATAGTTGAATGTAATAAGTATAGTTCTGTACCTATAGCACGTACCTTTGCATTAATGTTGTCCCTTGCTTTACTGTTTCAACTCAAAGTGTTTCTTTTTCTGTTTCTGTTGTCTTTGACTTCAGAAAATTGGCTGCTACTTTTGTTTGTAGGGATCTAGTTGGTATATTTGCTGTAACAAGGAAAAACATTTTCTGATATGTAATTAGGAAAAAAATTTTCTGGAGTGTAATTAGGAAAAATTATTTTCTGGACACAAACAGTTTTACAAAGAAAGGTGATTTGGTTTGTATTTTTAACTGATGAAAGTTTTGTTGGGGAAAATGGTAACTTATGCTTCGTTTAGAGGGTCAAACATACAGGGTAATCAGTACTAATTCATTTGGCCGAGGATCTTCACAGTGCCAGTTCATGACAGCATTCTCAATTCTCCATTATGCATTTTTATTCTAATATTTCTAATATTTTTCTTCCTCTAATCATAAGGAAATTATTAACTTCTCCTTGATCTAACGTCTTAAAATGGCTTTGTGGGAAGAAATGTATATACTATTGCAGCTAAATCAAATGAAGTAGGAAAGGACAATTAATGACTTATTGAACGTATCACTGCAGGAAAGCATTTTCAAACTGGTGCTTTATCCAGAGAGTTTATAACAATATGGAACTGACATTTATCCGAAAGCACAAAGATTTCTTTTTCCCCCGGTGTTTTTATTTGTTTGTCCTCTGCTATGGCCTGTTTTCTCCCTTGGGGAACCAATCACAATGCTGAAAAATTAATCTCACAATAAGTATTTGATAGGCTCTGCAGGATTATGTCTTTGGAAAGGCAGCTGTGGTGTCTTTGACCTGTTACTGTCCTCTATTGAGAGTGGTTTTGGCTGGAGCCCACTGCCCCAACCCCCATGATTTAATGACATGAAGGAGCTCATGTATAGTTTAGATCATACTAAGAATTCATTGCATGTTTAACTTTGATAGTGACCAAAAGCAAACATTGTCATCTTGAGAGTGGTTAGGCCCTGGAACGGGCTGCCCAGGGAGGTTGTGGATGCCCCGTCCTTGGACGTGTTCAAGGCCAAGCTGGACGGGGTCCTGGGCAACCTGATCTGAATGTGTGTGTTCAGTGGCCCTGCTAGGCAGGGGGGTTGGAACTACATGATCCTTGAGGTCCCTTCCAACCCAGGTGATTCTGTGATTCTGTGATTCTGTGATCTTAGTCACCTTCTATACAGCAGAATGGTACTGCAGCTTTCCTTCATGCTGTGAAATTCTTTGTTCAAGAAGAGAGTTTCACAAGTACTGCGATGTTTAAGAAAAGCAGAGTAGAAACCATTTGTTTTCTATTTCTCTCATTTGCTCCTCAAAGTCTTTGTTAAGAAGATCTTATGCTTTAATTTCTCACATCTGTTGTGCCAATCACTGTCAAATGGTTTTTTGTAATCTTTCCCAATAGATTGCCCCAGCAGAAGGATTGGTGTCTATACTAAAGAAGAGAGATGACAGGGATGGAAAAACAATTGCCCAAGTCCAGCAAAGGCAAACAAAGAGAAGAGTCCGGTTCCAAGAAATGGAAGACACTTTTGATCAAGGTATTCTAATACTGCTAACTCACAGCATGTGCTCTCAGCGTGCAAGTGGTGTTGAACTTTGGTTCTCAAGAGCTCAGCGAATGTTCACTGTACACTGCACCTTGCTTTTTTTAAAGTTGAGATGAGAAAAGGTTGTCTAGTTTCAGTGGTCTCTAGAAGCTGAGGCACTCTAATGCTCTTGAGTCATTTCAGACTCAGAGATTTGGTATTTTTCTTTCATTTCTTCTTTTTTTTGTTTGTTTGTTTTGGTTTTTTTTTTTGAGAGAGAGAGAGAGAGAGACAGCTCTAGATTGCAAAAGCCTTCCATACTTTACTGTCTTGCCCTAAGATCATTTTAACTAAAGCCCAAGGCTGTGTTGCAGTGCTGGAGTAGTTTCATAATACTTGAGTACAGTCTGCTAGAGAAACTGAGCAGAATTTGAACACTTCATGACATGTCTCACACACCAAAAGGAAAATCCATTTGCTGCCTAGTCACATTTTTTTTCTTGAAAATAGTTAGAAAAAAATTATATTGTACATACAATTTCAGTAGTTACCTTTTTAATATTATTTTTGTTTCTGCATGGATTTGGTGATTCAGAAGGGAAGCTGGTTTTCATTATTATCATTTTAAATCAAATTATAAAAAAAAAAAGCTTCTATTTTTCCCCCCATTTCCGCTCCTGACAGATGAAAGAAGCTCAGAAATTTTCTTAGAGCCTGACAGAAAAGGCAGGTGTTGATCACGGAAACAGCCTGTGAAGAAAAAGTAGTGAGGGTGCAGCAACACAGCTGCAGCATCCTCATTGCAATAAAGAGTCTTGCAAAGAGTTACCATAGATAACAGTGATGTAAACTAACCCTTCACAGTGGGCTTCTGTGAAGGTTTTGTCTCCACTCTTACAGCCAAAACATGAGAGTAAATACAATCAGTTCATCTGGCCAGTCAGTGGCAGTACGAGTGAAGGAAGAACATTCACATCTGTTTTAATTTCAAAGCTTTCATTTCCTTTCAGGTATTTCCAGGAAGGAAGGCTTTGGTTGTGCAACATTCTCTCGTTCAAATCTGTTATACCTCAGTATGGATTGATTCCACAAGTGATACAAGCAAGGATAGGGACACGGGTTTGCAGAAAAGGCACTACATAATTATTTAGGTTTCTGAAACAAATCTCAGGTTTTCTCATAGTCACATTTTGAAGAGTTAATCACACAACACCCTCCGTCCCCTTGGGAGAAAGAATGGGGGGGAAGGAAGAAGAAGAAAAAAAAAAAACAATAGGATTTATTAAAAGGAATGTGAATTAATACAGAATAATTAAGAGTAATTAATGAAAACGAACCAAAAATAAAGCTGGAGGAGTGACATCAGTCTGAGTCTTTATCGGCAGGCTCTTCACGGCTTGCCTCCCAGAAAAGATCAGAGAGCTCTTCCCCCATCACCCAGAGTCAAAAATCACATGGATTTGGGAAATGCAGAGCATCCCAGCGTATCTTCCTCTTGGAGAGTCAGAATTCATGTGAGGCTGCTAGAGAAACCAGGAAACACAGCTCCGCAGTGCAGTGTGCCTCTGTACCCAAATAGTCTGTCGCATGATGTCATGATACAGAATACTGGTAAAACTATGGCACATTCACATTCATGTTGCTTTGTCTGGTCTCTTATTCACCTTTTCTTTTCTTCTGCTCACAGATGAAGTAGCTGGTGGCTCCTGTATTTTGCTGATCCTGCTGTGCATAGCAACCGTTTTCCTTAGCATTGGAGGAACTGCGTTGTACTGCACCTTTGGTGACATGGAATCCCCTGTGTGTAAAGACTTTGCAGCCAACATGGATTTCTATTATACCCAGATACTGCAGCGTGTGGAAGAACTTAAGCACTGGATTGCCTTCTCGTAGCTGAAATAGACTGAGACAGCACATTGAGCTCACCACTGGTTGCTGGAGAGGCTATTAAAAAACCTGTGATTTCAGTTCTTTGTAACACTTGCCACCTGCAGGTGATGTGCATCTGATGATGTACTTACACTGTTATTTAGAAATTGAGAAAAATTCCCTTTTAGCAATCAGGTGGCAAACTGTTCACATCTTAAGCCGTAGCAGTGTGGTATGGGAGAATAACAAGTCATTCTCTACATCCTTTTAAGATTAGACGAGCAGCTTTTCAACAGCTTGAGCAACTGAAGAGGAAAGAAGAAAATTAACTGTCTTCTATACGCTCTCCCATTACCACACATTGTGTAAGCAATCTCTGACAGCTTAGTTAAAGAACAGCTCTGATTTAAAGCTGTTTGTGCAAAGGTGTTGCTTCCAACTATCACGCAATAAGTCTGTGTTTTATGAAAACATTATTTTTCTTCTAAGTCTTACTATTTTTCTCCATTTTAATTCTCCCAGTGAGCCATGTAATAATTTGCGTGGAGTGAGAAGAATGCAGCAGCATTCACGGAGCCCCCATTCAGTGATAACAGGCCGACCTGCACCTTACAGCATATGGGGAACATCATGTGTGGGATAAATCTGCTGGCAGATTTCACATTGTTTCCTGGAACTTTACTCCCAGTGTTGTGCGGGCTGTTTTAGAAAGAGGAGGATAAAAAAGAAATCATTGGTCTCACTATATGCAGAGAAAGGAGCAAGATGTTCAGTAACTTATTCACATTAATAGAAGAGTGGCTTCGGCCAATTCTAAAGCACCTGGTTGTAGGTGTCAGGCTGGCTGGGATTTCTCCCCAGCTGTGTCACTGACTTACAGTAATCACTTTGTGCCTCGGTTTCTCCTCCGTAAGTGGGGAATAATGATCCTTGCCTTTGTCTGTGAATACATACTGCAATTAGGGCTCATGTCTGATTCCCTACACCCCGGAGGAGCGCACAGGATCGCTGGACTGTGTGATTGCGGCCTCTCACCCAGTGAGTTCCTAACGTACAGTGGAACTGATCCAACAGAAGGTGCTCAGAGGCTCGCTGCAGACCCACAGCCTCTCGGTAGTCCAGGGCACTTGTTCCAGCAGATAAAGCACATTTGCATCTATTTGCCCTCCAGTTCTGAGACTTGTAAAATCTGCTCTCTTTTTCTACCAGCTCTACAAACAAATTTAAATCAGTAAAAAGAGTCATTTTAAATGGCTGTTTCTATCACTTGGTGCTCAGCCCTTCCTGGGTGGTGTATGAGAGAGACACCTACGTGACGGTGAAGGTCAGAACTGGCAACGTAGGCCCTCGGTCCGCGCTGTGGTCCGAACACAGCAGCTGTCCTGGCACAGAGCCCGTTGGCCTGGCCCTGCTGCAGGCCTTGTGTGAGACGAGTCCTTCGCGCCTCAGGAAACAGCAGTTTGCAGGGGGTCCGCTTCACTCCGCTCCATGGTTTCCAGCTTACTAACGTACAGTGCAGCACCTTCAGGTCCAGCTTATTTTGTAAAGTACCACAAAGTGAAATCCTCGAGGCATCGCTCAGAGTTATAACATTAAACGATCATGCTTTCTGGCATTTGCGAGCCAATTGTCCCTCTACTAGCAAGCTTGATTGTTCCTAATGCTCTGTTATGCTTAACAGGATTTTAAAGCAAAAGTTAAAACCATACTTTTTCTGAAACAAACTGCACATACGATTTCTTTTTCAGTTCTCACTGCCGAGGCTTAGTTGATACCTTAGGAAGCCTCGTGTGGCAGCTCTTTATTAAACAGTAAATTTAAAATGCCTCAATTAATGACAACGTTTGTTTTCAGAACGTAGCTTAGAACTGTAGTTTGGTGTATTTTCTGCTGGTTGCCTCAGAGCATTGTAAGGCTGGACTGATCTAGGGGAGAAAGGGAGAGATGCTTTTGTATTTTAAAGAGTTACTGGCTGGTTCAGTTTATTATTTTAAATCCTGGTTTATGTATTTATTTAGTTTTTATTTTAAAGAAAATCTTAATTTTTTTCTTTTTTGGTAATTTGCTCACAGAGTAATTAAAAGCATGCATTCACTTAAAATATATATTTATAGTGATTATGTAGTTAGAATATATTTTGCATTTCTGTAACTTGGCGTTGAGTGTTTCAGGATATTAAGTTTATTTCTAAAAGACAACGGTTGATTTCAGCTTAAAAATCTGCTTAAGTTTTTGTGCACTTCCTCACCAAAAAGTCAAGAGGTATATATAGAACTATTTATTCAAAGGTATATCAGATATGAAGATCAAAGATCTTCTACTTCTAGGTTCGTTTAATTAGAACTATTTAAAAATAATTATTTTATTTAAAACGGTAAAGCTATTTAAAGTCAAAGCAATTTTTGATAAACAGTTCAGAGTAAATCTGTGGTCTGAATCCTGGCATGGCAACTTTGTGTTGTGTTCCCAGTGCAGAGTCTCACTAATATCAGCAGAACTGCCAGTGAGAAGATCACGGAAAGGAAGGGCACCGCTTCACCTGCACACACTGGAGGAAGAATGAGCAGCCAGGTGTTCCATGTGGCCCAGCTGCCTTGTATTTGCACTGCAATGTGAGCACCTCTGCAGCCTTCAGGCCTGTGCCCAGGTGCCACTACTGCAGGATCTGCCAGGATCTGGGGGAGCAGATGGGGCACACACGCATGGGCTACCAGGCTCCTCTTCTGAGCTGTTGCAACCAAGTGCTCAAGTCTGGATCTGATTTCTGTTGGCATTCCTTTGTGAGAAGATGATGGCACTGATTCTTGCTTTGCCTGACAATTGTCAATATGGTTTTCATAGTCTGCACTACATTATCAGACTTGTGGTGATCAACCATAAAAAATGTGCTTCGTTTGAAATGCAGAGAGCGTGCAGGTTGGCCAGGTGTTGGCTGTCCTGTGTATTGTGTTCCCTTTCAATTGCTGGTGGCATTAACTTCCATCTGGGTGGCCCCAGGGATCAGAACCTTGGTCAGGGAAATCTAAGCCAAAGGGACTTGAACAGTTATCCTCATCCGAGGAGTTTGTGGTCAACTAATGCTGAGCAACAGCTGAGACTGTTCTAGTAGGAAGAAAAGAGTAGAAGCTTTTTCCTTCCCTTTTGTGCATTGTAAAGCCCTTTGCATTTAAGTTTTCACTGGATAGATAGTTGTTCTGCTTGGCAGTAGGAGAAACAGACCACTGTAAAAGCATTTGTAGTCAGTAGGAAAATTCAGGGAACGGTTCAATACAATATTAGTTAAAACTCATTTCTAGAAAGATGACTGGATGTCAGGTTGATTATTTGCCTTCTAAGGTGAAAGCTGTGGCCACTTACCACCCGCCACTCTCCATCAGAAACCCCATCTTCCAGTTTATCCTCTCAGTGTAATGATTTTAGAGAGATGCTTGCAATAGATCAAAACCAACAAGGCTCTCAATGTGCGTTCAGTGCACAGAGCCAAAAAGAGCTTTCTGATGGCATAATTAGCACCCTCACCCCAAGCAATGTGAAGTACGCAGGAAGAACGCTGTGCTGTAGCATAGCTGTGCTGTACCACAGTCTGGTTCTAAGCAGTGCAGATGAGGAAGCATTTTCCACAGCCCAGACATGCCAGCAGAGATTTGCAATCTAGACACGGCTCATGTTTTAGAATGTTTTTCTACTATTTTGCTTTCATACTTGGAAAACACGTAGTGCTGGTGGCACACTGTGGGAAGTAGTCTGACCAGAGGGGAAACTCTTGTTTAAGGATTTCTGTGGGTAAAGGGCAAGCTTGAAATATCAAATGAGTGGAGTAGGTCAGAAGTCCAAATTCCTGTGTGACTGCACTTGATAACCAAAGGGGATGCTACCCTCCCAGGAAAATATGTTTGCCTATTTTGTACCATAATGTAAAGCCAAGACCATCTGAAAGGACTAATAACTATTTGTAACAAATATAGCTTCTTTAGCAAAAGGAGTAAATAACTGTGTTTGAAACCATCACCCAAGCTTGTAATTTAAATACTGTAGCAAAAAATAAAATAAAAAGCGTCCCAAAGAAAATATATGAACCTTTCTGGGTACTGTGATTTCTAAATGTATGAAAAGACTGAGAAGATCAGTGAAATTAAGTAAATGAGCAGCATCTCCAAAGAGAATTTCATGATACAACCAAAACCAGGAGAATAGATGAAGATAAAATGCATGACATTTGGTTTGGATTTTAGCATGATATAAGTTTCTTGCATTGGTTGGTTGGCTCACTTTTCTTTTACTGGCTAACTGAAAACTCAGCCTCCCCGCAGAGCACTGTTTGTCCAGGGCAGTGTGTTTAAATGCTGAAATGTTGCCTTGCTGCACTGCTCTAAAAGATGTTGGATGGTAAGTTTGAGAAATGCTGGTCACAACCCAGTTTGCTCTTTGAGTTCAAGTAAACTAAACTGACTCCAACCCAACCCAAGCCAGCCACCTCTTGTTTGCAGCGTGCAGCACTGCCTTTAGCAGCATCCCCATTCCTCAGCACCACCAAATGAGGCCACCCGGAATCTTAGACTGGCTGAAAATGTCGTGAAATCCTAAGAGGAAATGAGTTGTTCTTATTCATGTTGGTTTTGTTTTGTGTTTTGAAATTGTTCTTCAGTGCCAGAAAGAGGGACAATTATAATGTGAAAAGAGAAGAGAGATTTTTGTAGAAAATAATTGGAACTTGTGAGGTAACATCTCATGTAGGTACCCAAGGAAGCTTAAAGCATAAACTTCATTTAGCTTAAAGAAATGTTTTAATGTTTGTTTTTTGAAGTTTAACAAAAAAAAAAAAAAAAAAAAAAAAGGCTGAGATGTTACAGAATTGATGTTAGTGAATTTCAGCCAGAGTTCTGATTCTGCCCTTGAGTCCTGAACGTGTTTTTAATGGAAAAGAGGCTGTAATCAAAACATAAACATAAAACAAAAAGAATCAGAGACTGTACTGAAGCACCCAAAGTTTCAAAGGCATGTCTACTAAGTCACCCATGGAAGCAACACAGTGTTTCCTGCAGGGCACCGCTGAGCTGCTTAGTACATATTCTGCACTGGGAATCAAGCCACAGGAATCCTCTGGGGATGTGGGAGCAGCAAGGAGACTGTCACACTGCTTTTCTAGGGTAGCTCAATTCAGTGCACTGTAGAAAGGATGCACTGAAAAGAGGAGAGCAAAAGGTTTGAATCACTAAGGATCCAAGCAGCAAACTTCAGCTAGATAGAATGTCAGCATCTACCATCATAGAAGTGAGCAGATTGTTTACAGTAGGTAGCAAGTAAGAGATGATTTGAAAGGAGAGGATTGGTTTTTTTAAAAAAACATACACTGAGAATTCCTAATGATTAATCAAAGTTCTGAGGTTTTAAATAGAAGGTAATGATTAAGGGGAAACAACTTCTCAAAGGTAATGGCAATATTCTATAGGCAAATGGCTGCAGAAGGAGTGTAATAAAGACATTTAATATAAAAAGATTTTAAAAAGAAATTGGTAAAGGGTGAGAAATATTTCTGATAATTATGCATATCATTAATGGGGGGGTATAAGAAAGAGAGGGACACACTGTTAGCAGGACCTGTTGTGATAGGACAAAGGGAAATGATTTCAGACTAAAGGAGGGGAGGTTTAGACTGATCATAAGGAAGAAGATTTTTACAATAAGGGCGGCGAGGCACGGGCACAGGCTGCCCAGAGAGGTAGTGGATGCCTTATCCTAGGAGACATTTGAGTTGAGGCTGGATGGGGCTCTGAGCAACCTGATCTAGCTGTAGGTGACCCTGTTCATTGCAGGAAAATTGGACCAGATGGCTGCTAAGGGTCCCTTCCAGCTCAGATGAGTCTATGATTCTATGTTTGGGGTTTTTTCCTAACCAGATTTTATAGAATTAAAAAGAAAGAAAAAAAAAAAAAAAAAAAAAAAAAAAAAAAAAGAGCCACAGCAGCTCAGTGAAGAAAGAGGAAAGAGGGAGAGTAACCATTAAAATACAACTAAATTCTTTGCAGGACTCTCTAGGAGTATTTCCGTGGTCTGCACAAGGTCATATAGCAGACAGGAACAAAACAGGCCTAGAGCTTGTAAATCCTGCTTCTGATCTCTTGCCTGCTAGGACAGCATGGGTTAGGGAAGATAAATGAGTACCCTATCATTCACATTGTCTTTGACTTCACAGTTTGAGGACTTTGCTTAAAGATCTTTTTAATATTCTTCTGAATGTTGCAGTGATTGTAAGGAATTAAATTAATTCAGGAGATGAATTTCCTTCCTAGTATGCAGCAGTAAGTCCAAAAGCCACTTCAGTGTATTTTTAGTATCTGATATCATCATACCCATGGTAGCTGGTTGCTATTTACATACACTGAAACAAATTGTATCAACGGACCACATGGGAATACAATGTAATTGCAGCTTCTGTCGGCAGAAGAAGAGGCTGAAGCTGCCTGTGGTGGCTGCGTGCTTTGCTGTCCGGCCCTTACACTCACGCTCTGTTGAGCAGCAGGAAAGCAACAATGCTCAGCAGAGCAGGCACGGCTGAGAAATCTGTTACAAAATCTAGCCACAGTCTCACAGCTCCACTGGGCTTCATACAATACCTGTCACTGTGCCACGAGGGGAAATCAGTCGTGAAGAAACGCAGCGATGTGGAAAGAGGCAGCGGCCACCAGATCCTGCCTCCAGGCAGAAATGGAGATGGGAGAGGCACAGAAGTGTTCTGACCGTACAGTGGATGTTGTCATCTCTGTCTGCAAATAAGAAAGATGAAAATAATTTCAAATGTTCTTGGCGTCCCCCAAAATGCCTTCATTAACCTTCTTTTCTTTTCAACTTCTGTGTGATTTAAAGCTCTCCCTTAGCTGAAGGCAAGAAGGAAAATTAAGCAATGGCTAATCTTTTTTAAAGAAACATTGAATGTATCATCTCTTATAGTTTTCTATAAATAGGGCATTATTTTCCCAAGCCAACTCACTGCAGGGTAATAGCCCACAGTTTACCTACAATGGCAAAATAGATGGCCATTAGCAATAAGTAACTCGTGCATTATAAAACAGCCCCATTAAAAAGAACCACCCACATTGGCTCATGCAGTAGGACAGTGAAACAATATCTGCAATGAACCAAAAGAATTTTGCACTACAGAGCAAGCCTTGCACAGCCTGGCCATGCTGCCCAATCTATCTGGCACTGCCCATCCTTGCGTGGCACCTTCCATAGCTGTGACACCCTGGTGAGAAGCAACCAGGGAGGTGAATCCTTTGCCCCAGCAGCCATGCATTGACTGTGAAGACCTGTGGGTTTTCAGTAGGATGCTTCCGAACAGCCTGTGTTTCCCTGTGCTCCCTGCAGCTAGAGGTCAAGTGGAACGTTGGTCCCAGGAATGGTCTCATATCCACACAGACCTGGGGCAGTTGCTTCATTCCATCCGTGGGAGACCGTGTGGCAGATGTCCTGCTAGCAGAACAAGCAGCACCCTCCAGAGACACTAAGATACCCAGCACAGAGGGGTGCACAGTGTGTCCTGTGGCCCTTTCTGAAGTACTTCAAAGTAATTGCTATCCTGAGTACTTACAATAACATTTTAAGACTCTAAACCTGCTGATCTTCCTTAAGAAGAAATACACAGCATAAGGGACCAAAGGCTTGAGGATCCTGCAGTAAAGGCATGGCTGAAACCATATAAAAGCTTGTAAAAAGTCTTCAATGGATGCAGAATTTCCAAGAGTGCCTCAGGATTTCAAGGTCACTCAAACACAAGTAAGAAGGGCAAATTGAAATAGTTGGTGGTTTTTTTTTTTTTAAGGAAAAAAGGCTGTGCTCTGTGACACTTCTTGTTGGAGAGCACTTAGCATCACAGACACGAATTCTAATATGGTTAGTAGATTGCATACCACAGGGCAGCGATAGGGTGAGTTTAAAATTCATTTTCTGCCAGCTGTTGTCCTCAACTGTAGGCTTACATAGCACCTCACTTGCTTCTCAGTTCTTTATTTGTATTCTGGACTATTTTATTTTTCTTAAACCTTCATTCCTAGTGGCTTTCTTTTTAACCATCTGGCTCAGTGGTTTTTTGATGCAGCCAAGAAATAAGCTGTCTGTGGCTGAAAAAGGCTGTGGCCATTTTTACAGGACATTTTTACAAAAACTCTGCTGTGAGGAAAGCAACTTAGTATTCATTGCAGGAAGCTGCTTGTGTTTGAAAAGCTGTGTGAATGCCTTATATGTTACTGTTTGCATTTACTTCATATTGCTCTCTCCAGGTAGCTCCTTGTTCGTATGAAGAAATATTTTCCCTTAGACTCCTTCCAGGTATCAGTGACATTCTGTGAGAAGACCCATCTGAGCATCTTGACTCAGGGGAAATTAGAGACATCTCACACAAGACTTGACCAGAGGTTCAGCAACCACTCTGAAAGCTGGATGCGTGCTGTTTGTACCTCCAAGGAGACAAATCTTGTGGTCCTGACTTGTGATGGCATTAAGTGACTTGAACAGAAATGACACCAAGACAAGAGGAGTGGATGGTTCCTTGTTTCTTTATCTGCTGTGCATCCACTGTGGTTTTGTCAGAATAAGGACTTTCCGATATTAGCACTGCAAGGGCAAACAGAAAGGTATTATTTTTAGGTATGCTGCACATCCCGTAGCACTTTGGGCTTATTGTCCAGCTGCAGTTTGATGATCTCTTTCCATTGGATTTCAGAAATAGAATATAACTGACACTCAGAGACACATGGAGTTATGTGAGCAAAAGCCACAAAACAAAAGTGCAACAAGAAGAGGAGTCAGCTGCTTTCCCCTTGTACTTAGCACCTCAAGCATTGTGTTCGGTTTTGGGCCCCTCACTTCAAGAAAGGGCAGAGAAGGGCAATGAAGCTGGTGAGGGATGTGGAGCACAGGTCTTATGAGGAGTGGCTGAGGGAGCCAGGATGGTTCAGTCTGGAGAAGAGGAGGCTCAGAGGAGGCTCATTGCACTCTATAACTTCCTGACAGGAGGTCGTGATGAGGAGGGGTTTGGCCTCTTCTCCCAGGCAGCAAACAGGACCCAAGGAAATGGCCGCAAGCTGCACCAGAGGAGGCTTAGATTAGACATAAGAAGAACTTTTTCTCTCAGAGGGTGGTCAGGCACTGGAATGGCTGCCCAGGGAGGTGGTGGAGTCGCCGTCCCTGGCGGTGTTCAAGAGGCGTCTGGATGAGGAGCTGTGAGATCTGGTTTAGTTTGTGGTAGCAATGGTAATGAGAAGACAGTAGGACTAGATGATCTTGTAGGCCGTTTCCAACCTTGTGATTCTATGATTCCATGATTCTATGACTAATGGGTCCAGAAGTAAAACACGATGTTTAATGAGTCTGCATGTCCCGTCAATGGGGCAAAGCTGCTGTCAAAACTTTGGCTGTAAGCATGGTTGAAATGATACTGAACCAGTTACTGCAGTGGAGGGAAGGAAGCAGGGTATAACAGTAACTCTGGCAACTGAGTTGTTCCTCTTGTGTTCAGTGAAGACACTTTTTGAGTAGCTGACTTTGACATAAGGGGGGTGTTTTGTGCTTGTCTGTGGACAGTGAGCTATCTCTTTACAAAGCACAGGTTTACTTCTCAGCCACCACGTCCTGTTCCAACCTGCTAACTTGGGGAGAATGCTATTTTTTTAAAAAGAAATACAGCACAACTGAGATGGAAGTGGTTGAAGTGATGACGTGGACTTGTAAGCTGGAAAAGAAGAAAAGATTTTAGGAGGCACAAAACTGGACCTTGGGAGACTGATTTAGTTGCCTGCTATCTAATAAATTTCTTACATAGTCTTAAGCACATCACTTAATCCTGAGTTTCACTACATGCCTATGTAATGGGTAGAAATATTTTCTGCTGCTCTCTGGCAATGAAGCTGTGAGTGGAGTCATGGTAAGTTTGTAAGTAAAATATTTTAGGTGATATCAACAAATAATTAGTTTGGTTCTGACTGGAATATTACTTGTAACAACACAGGATACACTTGCAAAGAACCCCATATCTGAGGGAAAAGGGAAAAAAAGGAAAGAAAAAAGAAAAGAACTCTTCATTCTTTTTGGAGTTTTCAAATAATGTGATAGATGTTTCAGGAAGGCTGTAGGAAAGAAATATTTGAAAACACAAAGGTACACTTTCATATCACTGGCATTTTTTGTGTTGTGTTGTTAGATGTTAAAACTGCACCTGTTTGGTTTTGGAGGGTTTTTTTGTTTTTTTGGGGTTTTTTTGTTTGTTTGTTTTTTGTGATTTTTTTTCAGCATTATAATAACACTGCGAGATTTTACAGCGAGGCAACCTGACAGAAAGAGTACAGAAGTATAAATGGCTTTTGCATCTCAGCATTTCCCTGTGGGAGTAAGGGGTAAAAGCATTTGCTTGATGGATTCAGGTGGCTGGTATCTTCAGTACCCAGACTGCCTGTCCTTCCTGATTGACTCTATCTGCCTGGGACAAAGCTTTTAACAATCTCAGTATTACCAGTGGCATCCGAAAAATAAGCAGACTGTGAGCAGTATGTCCAGATGAATTCTGAAAGTCTTTGTACTACAGCTTTCGAGAGAGAATCCAGAAAAATCCATCTCCAATACTATAGCATTCATTCAGGTTAGGATGACTGTTAGGAGTGACAGTGAGGTCCTGTAATTTAGATATATTTGTAATTTAGATTCTCTGGATCATTATCATCTATACACCAAAAAACACTGAAGATAAAACAGACTGGATGACATAAAGGAAAAGGCAAGCTCAATGAAAGAACGGCTTCTGATCCAAAAACAGGAGAATTTACCATTCTTTAAGTCCTTGGTAAATTTATTTGTAATATTTATCTCTGTTTTCACAATAGAAGTAGCTGCTAAGTATTCAGAATATATGCTACAGTTATTCAGAATCTGTTATCATATAACACAGTACCTTCTGCGATAGTTGGCTGTTGTGGGTTAAGCTACTGGGGGACTGCTTGCCTACATTTTCACATCTTTTTCCACCAGTGTTTGCCTGTTGGTGTACTTGATATTTGGGGTCTGAAGACTTTGAAACCAACAATTTTGAGCAGTTGTGTGTAATTATGCAAAAGAGCAGCTTCAGTATTATTTCAATCAGCATGTTTTCAAATTGGAATGAGGAAGAAATTAGCGTCTGAAATAAAAGCTTATTAAGGGCTCTATTATGCAAAACAATCAGTGAAACCTCACGGAATTATTTTTATAAATGATTGAATATATTTCAAAAACTGTATTTTTGTATTTTGTTGGGTTTATATTTCTTCTTGTGATATTGCTGAAGGTTGCAGCTTTGCCATATTTAGCACTCTGTGTGCAAGAAGGACGGCTGGATCTTTCTTTAGAGAGCTAGAGGTGGGTTTCAGTGCTCCAGAGCAGCCACCTCCATCTGCATCTCACTATCATAGATGTTAGCTGTGAAAGTGGCCCTAACTAGAGCAAAAATTCAGGCATCTTGCCCTCTGCTGCTGTGTGCTGCCCCATTTACAAGTGATTTTTCTGGTGGGCTTTTGTGGAGAAGGCTGAGGTTGCAGCTTTTGCTGAACTCTTTCTAAACATGTATGCCAGTGGAGGCAGAGTAGAATGATACCATCATAGCCATGTAGCAAAACTTGGAAGGAATTGGGCCACAGGAGGCAGGCAAGGCACTGTTCTGTGCTTATTTTGGGACTCATGCATGTTAATTCAGTAGATACTGGGAGTAATAAGTAGAGAGGAGCCAGCATTTGGTGCTGCC